AATCGTCAGAACTAATTTTGTTATACTCGTGTTTATCATACATTCGCATAATCATTAGAACATACGACTTTTTAATTGTAAAACCCAAAGCTTTTAATACAGCTTTCATTTCATGATAATCTAAATAACCATCAGCATCGCTGTCCATTAAACTGAATAATTCTTTCAATCGCTCTTTATTATTTTCCATAATCACGCTTCTTTTAATATTCGACATATTAATAATTATTATTTGAATAAATTTACCTTTTTCGTTAAATCGGAGAAGATGATAAGATTTATCAACGTCTTGACAGTAGCGATGACAGTTTATTTATTTATACAATGTTATTAGTTGCGGTTAGCAACGCTTACTTTTTTCTAATGTGTAACTAGTATTTCTATGCGTTTCTGATCAGGACACAATTTTCCATTGATTGTAACCGCAGAAAATGACTCAATACTCAATACATTATTGTTGTCAAAATGCACACTCTAACTCTAAATCCCATTCATGGAATCTTTTGGCGGTTTACATAACGCCAATAAGCGGAACTGGACTTCGTGCAACCGTTCATTGGGCCGCCTCGCACTAGCCGAGCTCACCTTTTATTGGTCAACGTTATTCGTTGATAACTCATAAACAATGCCGCGGATTGCATATTCGCTAAGGAAAATGTTACTTCAAATGATCTCAGGAACCCCCAATTTTCGAATTGCGAAACAATTTCGGGCCATTCTACATGAGGCTACTCTGCATGTAAGGGCCCTTGATGAGGGACCTAAAATTCGTCCCTGAGCATCGTCGTCTAACAGCCACTCAGCTGCAACAGCAGCACTGATCACATGAACGTTCTGTTTACATTTTGTGCCATTCTCATTGAACGTAACGTTGATTAACATTTGACGATCATAATTCTGTCATTTGAATTTTGCCGTTTACGGTGTTTCAAAGATCGTACGCTAGAGGGAACACCGTAAACGCATCAAAGACACTGTTGCTCTATTCTATGACAGTATTATGTAAGCTATGGAACATACTGGTGCATATGTACACATGTGACCAATGATTTTGCATACGTATCTATAAACATTTTTCTCATTTGACAATATTAAATTTTGTGTACAAGAATAAATTTATAATATAAAGAACATGATAGAAAAAATTGTAATACGATCAATAAATAATTCATTAAAATTACATAACAGGACGAAATTGTCTAATTATGTAGCTAAGTTATGTACAAATTCTGTACAAGGTAAAACTTTGTACTATTATTATTTAATTCTTCGTCTTTTTGCTGACTTCATTTTGTCTTTTAGGTGTTTCAGCAGATCAAAACTTACAAAATCAAAAGG